GTCGCCACCTTTGTCACCCAAGTTTCAGATCTTATTGTAGAAGGGAACCGTTCACTGAAGACAATATTCGGGAGGGTTAGATGGGTTGTGCCCCTCAAAACTGGAGGGCCTCAGCTGGCCAAAGCCTGCATGCCTGCTGCTCATGTGTGAACCATGGTGTTCAGGATCAGAACAGTTCAAGGGTCTTGAGAGCTCTTAACTGGTATGAGTTCATGGGGGACTCATGGGTCCTCCATAATTCCAGTCCCTATCTTATTCAAAGTTATCTATTCCCCTTGGGAGAGACTGAGGTGAACTCGGAAATCTTTAAATGGAGAAGCGGGGATGGACTAGAGGGGTTTTATCCAAGAAGAAACAAATGGAAATCCTTGTTGTTAGAAAGGTCTTGGTTCTTGGAGGCCAGGGTCACTGTGCGAGCTGTACATGTGGGTCCTGTGCAGCTCTCCAGAGCAAAGGTGTATAAGCATCAGTCTGGTTCCAGTGTAGAATTGATCCAGGAGGGGCCAGGTCTAGGAGTTCTGGGAGAAACCAAGCATCTGCCACAGTACGATCCTGCACCTGCAGAAAGGCTCCTATTCACCCAATATCCAAGTATCAAGGGAACTCTACAGCCCTGGTGGTGAGACTTGCAATGTTTGGAATGTGAGATACCCGAGTGCTCACCGTCCTGTAGAGACCTGGGGCCCCAATACCAGCACAATCAATTGTGGGCTACCACCACTTTCATAGTCCCAGTTTAAACTTTTATTATGATTAGGACCCCTCTGTCAAGCACAATATCCAAGGAGCTTGGGAGGTTATGGCCCCAGACACCTGGAGGGCTTCGGGTGTCCAAAACCTGCCATAAACATCCTTACTGTGCATATACGTGCTGAGCGGCTCAGGGTGACCAGGGATAGGGAAGAGTTCAAGGGTCCTGAGGTGCCTTTTACTGGTGTGGATTCATGAAAGATCCAAGGTGTCTCCCTAATTCTAATCTATATTATACTTAATGTTGCCTCTTCCCCCTGAGGAAGATCTTGGGAGTACTCAAAAGTATCCCCATGTTGTGGTGGGGACAGGCTGACAGGGTATCCTCCAATGAGAGACACCTGGAAATCCTTTTTGTTGAAAAGCTCAAGGTTGAAGGAGGCCAGGGGTGGGAATTAAACTGCACATGCCCTTTTCGTTCAGCTCTCCATAAGGAAGTGAACTAAGATGCAGCCTTGGTTTTGTTCCAGGTCCAAGACTAAATACAGGAGTGGCCAGGTCACTCTCTGGGCATACTAGGAGAAACCATATGCCAGTGTCCAATCCTGCACCTGCAAGAGGTTCCTGTTCACGCAGAAGCCAAATATCCCTAAACTCTGAAGCCTTGATTAGTGGGAGAGGGGAGATCTGAAATGGAAAACTCCTGGAGTCCTGGTCCCGGAGAGGCCCAGGGCGCCACCAGCAGCTTGATCAATTGGGGACTGACTGTTTCCACCTCTGTAGCCCCAAGTATGTGATTATATTGAGAGGGGAAACCCCCTAATAAGGACAGATTGTTCAAAATGCCAAGGTTTCCACAGGCCTAAAGGGACCTATAGCCCAAGTCCTTCTGCATGACATTAGTTGAGAGTATCCAAGGATGATGATGTTCATAATGATGATGATGATAATAATAAGAATAATTTCAAGGGGCATGATTGGTTGTTCACTGGTACAGGATCATGGGAACCCAAGGTGTGTTACTAATTCCAATCCCTGTCCTAACTACTGTCACCTGTCTCCTGTGAGTGAGACCTGGGAAGAACTCAAAGCCTTGCCAGACCTGGTTAGGAGGAACTGGAGGTTTATCCTCCAACTAAGAGAGTCCTGGGAATTCTTGTCAGAAAGGTTGCAGTTGGTAGAAGCCTGGATCGGGAGCAGAACTGCGTGTTTTGGCCCTGCACCATTCTTCAGAGCACGCGGAAATAAGTCCCAGCTCAGACCCAAAACCAGTCTAGGACTCGGTTTAGGAGAGGCCAAGTCACTGTTCGAGGTCCTGAGAAAACCAGACCTCTGCCAACGTCCAATTCCACACCTTCACGGTGGCTCTTCTGCAAACAGAAGCCAAATATCTGAAAAGCCAAAGGGAAATATTAACCCTTGACTGGTGAGCCCGAGGAGATTTGGAATTGGAGACTCCTGAGAGGCCTTCGTCCTGGAAAGATGCAGGACCCCAACAACAGCACGATCAATCAGGGGATGTCTGTCACCACCTTTGCAACACCAGTTTCAATCCTATTGCGGGACGGTTCCTTCCTCCAGAACAATAACCAGTCGGTTTGGAAGGGACATGGAGACCCCAGTAGTCCAAGACTTGTTGACCTGATGTGTACTGTCCATTAATGTGTCCTGTGTTCAAACCCCTATTTCTATGTTCTGACACAATTGTTGCCTCTTTCCTGCACTGACATAATGCTGTTCTGAATGCAGCTGAAAAGAGAGTTCTCAGAGACATCTTTTAAAAACATGTTTTAATTCACTTCACTATGTGCATTAATGTGTGGAGACACTTCTATTCAACGATATAACACTGGCCTGAATGCAGGTGGCAAGTTACATTTTAGGCAGAGATTTTATTTTATCTTTTATTGATTATGCCATTATAGTTGTCCCAATTTTTCCCTTGTTGTCCCCCTCTACCCAGCACCCACCACTCTCTCCGGTGATCCCCTCTCCTTTGTTCATGTCCATGGGTTTGACTGAAGCTTGAAAGCAGCGTTTTACAAGTATGTCTTTTAGAATTTTTTGTAATAATATCATTATCTTCATTACACAACAGGGACCACTTTTATAAACTGATGAACTGGTTTGAATGCAGCTTACAATGGGCTTTCTTAGAAATGTCTTCATTAGAAGTATTCTTTATCACCACAACATTCATTACAAAGTGTATTTCCATTACCGTGATAAAATGCATCACAGCACAGTGATCTAATTGTAGCTGGCAAGTGGCATTTTTAGAACCATTTTATTAAAAGTGCACTTAAACACTTCAATTCTTGCATACAGAATGCGGCAGGGGGTCACCTACATTAACTGATATAACACTGGTCTGAATGCAGTTTGCAACTAGCATTCTCTATAAACATCTTCATTACGAGTGTTCGAAACACTTCATTACATATATGAGAGCATGGGGATTACTTCCCTTCACTGATAAAATATGGGAACAGTGGAGCCTACAAGTTGTGCTTGTAGAAATATCTTTATTACAAATGTTCTGAGTCACTACCCTATTTGCAGTACAGAATGGGGATTATTTACATTCATTGTTATAACACTGATCTGAATATAACATGTAAATATCAAAATTAGAACATCTTTATCACAAGTGTTCTTAAACAAGTCACTGTATTATAACACAAGAAAACCTGTATTATAGAATGAGGATGAATTCCTTTTATTGATAGGACCCTGATATGAATGCAGCATGCAAGTAACATGTTTAGAAACATCTTTATTACAAATGTTATCAAACTGCCTAGATACATTAGAGACTTGGATTACTTCTATTTACTTACATAACACTGGTCTGAAATCAGCTTCCCAATAACATTTTTAAGAAACCTAGTTATAAAATGTGGACTGAATTACATTACCACGCTTATTATAGTGACTTCTGGTCACTGATATAGCACAGTTCTCAATGCAGCTTGCAAGTGGCAGTCCCAAACATCATTACTACAAATATCCTTAATTATTTCATACATTACATAACAGAACCCATTTCCATTTACTGATTTAAAACTATTCTGAATGTACTTTGCATTAAAGTTGTTAGAAACAACTTTATTACAAGCATTCTTAAACACTTTATTACATTCATTACAAAATAGGAATGACTTTTATTCAGTGATATAACTGGTCTGAACACAATCTGCAAGTAGTACTAATACAAATACACATATCTTCATTACAAATGTTTTTAAATACTTTACTGCATGCATTACAAATTAAGGATCACTTTCATTCAGTGTTATTAACAATCTACTGAAAGTAGATAGCAAGTGGCATTCTTAGAAACAACTTTATTGCAATTGTTCTTAAACACCTAACTAAATGATTATTCATAATGGGTCTCACTTCCATTCATGGATATAAAACTATATAGTATGAGTGCAGCATAGAAGAAGCATACTTAGAAACATCTTTATTATATGAGAACATAGTATCGCTCTCACTCACTGAAACAACATTGTGCTCAATGCAGCTTGCAAGTGTGTTTTTAGTAACATGTTATTTACAAGTGTTCGTTACACTATATGTATTATAGAATTGGTATGACTTTGATGCTGGAAGGACATTTTTGAAATTACAAAAAAAAACTACCTTATTTTACAATACTTTGATAACTTTTAACACATATTCAAAATCTATAAGGCATAATGTTGTCATCCAAATATTACTTATGATTTCTCATTGTTCTCTGGCTCTCCCTAACTTCTGAATATTGTAGTTTAATAAGGGCTAACATCAAAGTATAATTTGAATCAAAAATTTATCTTTCATTATAATAAAAGCTATCAAGAAATAATTATCAGTAGATCCTGATAAGGAGAATGATCCCTAAGAAGTAGCTTTTCATAACATTATTTTATGCCTATGATTCCCCAACAAACCTTCTACTAGATTAAAAAAAAACACACACACATTGTATGTTTGAGTCACAGGCAATGCTATGCTAAAATGATTTTTTTACAGCTAACCAACACTTTTTACACTGCGTCATATATTTCTTTGATGCAATTTTCATTTAGCATACTGAGCATCATTGAGTGCCAGCCCTGTGGTCATCTTTGTTCTAAATGCTGAGGACACAGCAGCTAACAAGAGGGTCAAGGTGCCTGCCCTTGAGAGTTGGAGAAAATATACAGTAAGTAGACAAATTTTAAAAATTAGTAGAACTTTCATCAGAGTTAAGTGTTATGAAGATAATCTCAGGAAGATAGGATAGTGACAGAGCTCTACAACAGAGAATGGTTGAGAGACAACTATTTCTTACGATCTTTGTCCTTTTTTACATTGGTGCAACCATGAGTCTGCAATGTTTCAGAGCCAGCCTTCATTTTATAAAAGTTCATTATTTCTTCTTCCAACTGTCGTTTCTCCTCCTCAAGTCTTATTGTCTCCTCATGCTGGATTCTTTTAAGGTGCTCAAACCTGTCCTGTAGCTGTGAAACAAAGATGTAGTTGTGACTCAAAGCACAATGCATGGCACATCCCCAGGAACATGCTCATCTTTTTCCTTGTTTTCAAACATATCAATCATCAAAGTAGAGGTTGATCTTAATAAATAACTCAAACAATTATGTTTGAAATAAACATTCAGATATACAATTTTTTTCAACAATTAAATTTTAAAAAGTGTCCCCAAATGTAAAAAAAAACAAAAACAAAACAACCCCTACAGCTATAAACAACACTTATTTTTTAAAATATTGTTTTTCCAACTGAGGTATATTTTCTCACCCTACATGTCCCCACAAATCTCTTCAAATAAAACTTGATAAACCAATGCTCACTAAAAATACATATTAAATTATAGCATGCACTATAAAACAATTGTTGAGACTTTAATTTATAAAGACCTTTTGAAAGAAAGTCATAATTTCCTTAAGTGAAATCAGCATAGTGATAGAAAGAAACAAAAATCTTCAAGGACCTCATTCAGTTTTTGTTTACTTGTAAGGTCTTATCTAATTTGTCGGATTTAAAATAAATGAAATTAGCCATCTGCAAAAGGTGATATTAGCTTGGATTCCATTGGAGATGGACCTAGGTCTTTAACATGACTTTATTCAACAACATAAGACTTGCTTGTGTACATCAGAGGAGGGATGTGTTTTAATGCTATGGTTTGTATGGTTTAAAACTATAAAGGACAAGTTTATTTGCAGTTTAACTTTTTGAAAAACAAACAGGCCAAGGGATTCTACTGCTACAGTATTAATCATTTGGTGTATATGGCTGTGAAGAACGCAAACACAGGGTTAACACCAATGGTTTTCAACCCTAAGTGTCCATTAGAATTATTCAGTGAGCTCAATAACCTTTCAGTGTTTGGGCTGCACACAGATCAATTACATCAGACTATGTGGAATGGAAGCCCAGGCATTAGTGCTTTAAAAAATTTCCTAGGTGATCTTACTATGCAGCTAAAGTTGACATCCATGGTTCTAAATAAAGATTATATGTTCCTTTCCTGGACTCAGATGTCTCTTGGAATTACATCTTCAGCCGTGAGAAGCAAATGAGCATCTAGGTACCATGGCAAGAAGAATAATGACTGGAAAGGCTGGGCATGTGAAAGTGCAGTATCTGTAAGTGATGGCAAAATCACTGAGAAAATGTTTCTCTTAAAGATGGGAGGGTGAGAGTAGAAATCAGAGAAAGCTAAGCTTCATCCTAATATATAAATATTTCAAATATTAACTCCTCTGGTGAAAAGCCTTAAGTTTTCCCGCAAAACAGGTACAAGGCAAGGATGTCCCCTCTGACCACTCCCTTTCAACACTGTCCTGGGAGTCCTTGCTAATGCAGTAAGACAACAGAAGGAGATAAAATATATACAGATTGGGAAGGAGGATATAAAACTGTCATTTTCACAGGTAATATGATCATCAATGTAGAAAATCCAAAAGAGTTGCCCCCCCCCAAAAAAAACCCTCTTGGAACTAATGAGATTATAGTAAAGTTGCAGGATACAAGGTTAATACTCAAAGTTTAATTGCTTTTTAATATATCAGTATTGAACAAGTAGAATTTAAAATTAAAACACAATACTAATTGCATTAGCACCTCCCCAAAATGAAATACTTTAGTATAAATCTAACAAAATATATACAAGATCCATATGAGGAAAACTACAAAATTCTGATTTTAAAAATCAAAGAAGACATAAATGGAGAGATACTCCATGTTCATGAATAGAAAGACTACATATTGTCAAGATGTCAATTCTTCCAACATAATCTAGAGATTCAATGCAATACCAATCTAAATCCCAGTAAGTTATTTTATGGATATTGATAAACTGGTTCCAAAGTTTATATGGCAAAAGAAAAGGCCCAGAATAGCCAACACAGTATCAAAGGAGAACAGAGCTGAGGGACTGATGCTACTCGACTTCAAGGCTGGCTATAGCAACCTGACTAAAGCTACAATAATCACAAAATGTAATATTGATGAAAGAATAAAAACAGATCAATGCAACACAATAGCTTAGAAATAGATGTACATATACATAGTCAATTGGTCTCTGACAAAAAGGCAAAAGTGACCACTGGAGAAAAAATAATCTCTTCAACAAATGGCACTGGAACAATGGAACATCCACATGCAAAACTAAGAATCCCTTTCTATCTGAGCTAATGGGATTTTATTACTTATAGTTCAGTTGTCCTTGACTGGGACATCTGGCATACAGCAACTAATCACTGCCTTGTCTCTACCAAAAAAGAAGTTCATATTCTAATAAACTTACTAAAACTAAATGTTCTTTTTAATATTTTATTATGTTATTACAGTTGCCCCATTTTTTTCTCCTTTTATTCTCTTCTGCCCTGCGCCTCCCTCCGCCAGCAGTAGCTCCCTCATTTAGTTCATGCCCATGGGTTGTGCCTATAAGTTCTTTGGCTTCTCCATTTCCTGTACTATTCTTAACCTCCCCCTGTCTATTTTGTACCTATTATTTATGTTTCTCTTTCTCTGTACATTTTCTCCCATTCTCCACCACCCTCTGATGTCCATTTCTGTGATTCTGTTCCTGTTCCAGTTGTTAGCTTAGTTTGTTTTTGTTTTTGTTTTTTTTAGGGTCAGTTGTTGATAGTTGTGAGTTTGTTGCCATTTTACTGTTCATAGTTTTTTATCTTCTTCTTTTTCTTAGATAAGTCCCTTTAACATTTCATATAATAAGGGCTTGGTGATGATGGACTCCTTTAACTTTATCTTATCTGGGAAGTACTTTATCTGCCCAAAAAAACTATTTTAAGACTTATTAAAAAGAAAATTCTCAACTGTGGGCCAAGATGAAGGTGTAGGTAGATATGCTTTGCTTTCTCACACAACCAAAAGAAGGATAACAACCAATTTAAAAACAAAAAATAACCAGAACTGCCAGAAAATCAAACTGCATGGAAATTTGACAACCAAGGAGTTAAGGAAGAAACATTTATCCAGACTGTGCACTGAGACAAAGAAGTATGGCCCCAATGAAAGAACAGACCAAAACTCCAGAAAGAGAACTAAGTGATGAGGAGATAGCCAACCTATCAGATGCAGAGTTCAAACCACTGGTAATCAGGATGCTTACAGAAATGATTGAGTATGTGTAGGGTAAGTGGAGGCAGTCTGTCTTCCTCACCCAGGTGTCTGAATAACTAAGGGAAGCATTTTCTCATAACCCTGAAGGGGTTTGATAAAGGTGTGTTCTCATAGCCTTGAGACTTGATCTCACAGCCTTGAGTCTGTGTCTGATAAATGGTTCCCATAACATGAAGTTGGCTTGAATGTACAGCTCATGCTACATTACCTAACCATTTGGCCTGTAGCTGGCTTTGTTCCTTCTAGTATTTAAGAAAGTAGGGACTTATTAGTGGGTGCGCAGGCACGGGCTAGTGGCCTGCATGCTTCCCTTGAATAAATACATGTCAAGCATCCCCATGGCTCCACACATTTTCTTCCGTCTGTCTGAGTCTCAAGTGGACCTGCCCAGGCTAGATGTGCTGCGACACAGTATGGTCGAAAAATAAAGGAAGAAACGAAGGCTATACAAAGTGAAATAAAGGAAAATATATGGGGAACCAGAAGTGAAGGGAAGGAAACCAGGACTCAAATCAATGATTTGGAACAAAAGGAAGAAGTAAACATCCAAACAGAACAGAATGAAGAAACAAGAATTCAAAAAAATGAGGAGAGGCTGAGGAACCTTTGGGACAACCTTAAACATTCCAACATCCGAATCATAGGGTGCCAGAAGAAGAAGAACAAGAACAAAAAATTGAAAACTTATTTGAATAAATAATAAAGGAAAACTTCCCCAACCTGGCAAAGGAACTAGACATGCAAGTCTAGGGCACTCAGAGAGTCCGAAAGAAGTTGGATCCAAGAAGAAACACACCAAGACACATTATCATTAAGTTACCCAAGATTAAAGATAAGGAGAAAATCTTTAAAATAAAGGTAAGGAGAAAGCAGAAGAAAAGGAGACAGTTACCTACAAAGGAGTTCCCATAAGACTCTCAGCTGATTTCTCAAAGAAATCTTATAGGCAAGAAGGGGCTGGAAAAAAGTATTTGAAGTTATGAAAGGCAAGGACCTATACCCAAGATTACTCTATCCAGCAAAGCTATCATTTAGAATAGAAGAGCAGATAAAGTGCTTCCCAGATAAGGTCAAATTAAAGGAGTTCATCATCACCAAACCTTTATTATATGAAATGTTAAAGGGACTTATCTAAGAAAAAGAAGATCAAAAACTATGAAAAGTAAAATGACAACAAACACAACTATCAACAACTGAACCTAAAAAACAAAAACAAAAACAAACTAAGCAAACAACTAGAACAGGAACAGAATCACAGAAATGGTGGTCACATTTATCAGTGGGGAGGGGGAAAGGGAGAATGGGGGGTAAAGGTACAGGGAATAAGAAGCATAATTGGTAGGCACAAAATAGAGAGGGGAGGTTAACAATACTACAGGAAGTGGAGAAGCCGAAGAACTTATATGTACAATCTATTGACATGAACTAAGGGGTAGAGGAATGCTGGAGGGAGCGGGGGTGCAGGGTGGAGGTGGATAAAGAGGAGAAAAAATTGGGACAGCTGTAATAGCATAATCAATAAAATATGCTTAAAAAAGAAAATTCTCCAAATGATCTAAAAAAATTAGGCTATAATTTTTAAAGGCTGTATTCAAAACCTATATGGTTAATAGCTATTTTTTTAAAAAATAGCAAGTAGTCTTCAAAAACATCAAATAATTTATTGAGATTAAATATCCCAACTTAATAGGACACCTAAAAATGAATATAAATTATATCAAATTAGAAATACTTGCTTCTTTTTCAGTTTCTTTAAATGTTGCTTCTTTCTCCTTTACTCGCTGCATAAACTTCTTTTTCAACTCTTCTTCTTCCCTCTGGCATTGATCATAGAACTCCTGTCTTTTAGCTTCATAGATCTCTTGAAAACTAAAAAGGAATTTTTATTACTTTCATATTGAAATACAAATATAAATAAACATGAAAAAATATATATTATACATTAAGTACCATGTAAGGACATTTATTAATATTCTCCCATGTATAGAAATGGAAATTTCTATGTCATGAGATGTAAAAATGAAATAGGTGCAATACTGAATATGAGAGTGTATGTAAAGGGTACTAGAATTTTGAAAACAGTTATATCAGTGATTTCTTGCTCCCACCACTTATTATATCACTCCTACACATCTTCCCACAATAAAATTTGGAGGAAGCTCTGACTTATGAGGTTCTCAAAATAGTTAAAATAAAACCTGGTATCTTTCAAACTATGATTCATTTAAGATAGCCAGTTCAATTTTGGTTGTCCTCAAAATACCAAAACTAATACAGCTGTCATACTTTCGCAGCACAAATCCTATTCCTCTTCAACACAGCTAAATACACTTGCCCACCAACTGTTTTCACTTGATTTCCATGACATCACACTGCTGCTTTTCCTCCATCCAGTCCTCAGTATTCTTTGCATCCTTTTCAATATCCTTTGAAAACCTTTGTCAGTCTTTGCTAATATTTGCCAATTTACTTTCTGAACTTCTCCTTTTGGGTATACATTTTAATATATACACATGTTGGATACATATATTTTAGCATTTAAATGAGCCCTTACATTGCTCTTACAAATGTTTTCTAAGTTTGAAGATGATTTGAAAACATGTGTTCAGAATAATGCAGGATATGAGACACACAGTTATTCTCATTCCCAAATAATTATATATCATGACTGTAGGGGCTTTGTAAATCACCTGTTAGCAAGATCTCTACTCACCTAACTGGCTGGTTGTCTGGACCCACATCAGTAAAGCCGATTTTCTGCAGTTTGAAGCACCTATAACGTTCATAGTGCTGGGTATGGGTTTGTTCTTTTAGGTCTTCCGTATTCGTGCAAAGAAGCATATCCCGGAGCTTAACAAAGTCACAGTGATTTTCATTATCCACTAGGCAGAGAAATAATAAAGCCAAAACACATTATCAATCACTGGCTCTCAGTAAGTTTTATTGAATAAATGTATGCATGAAAAACATTTAAAATAGCAGCTAAGAGATCATCCTGATTAATAGCTAAAATTGTTTTAACCATGTAACTATGATTATATGGTACATATCAATTATAGACAGACTCTATTAACAGGCCAGAAAATTTGCTTTGAATTTATTAACCAAAGAATAAGTATTAAACAGGAAAATAACACATTATATTAATATATGGCATAAGATTTCATCGATAACTATGTTAGTATTTTACAAACTACCCTCAAGGTATTTTACAAAGTGCTAACAAAGAATTAATATAATTTCACTAAAGTAAGTAATTTCATTAAATTAAATCCTCCTAACATTAAGATCATTATAATTGTACATGCATAAGTTATCATATTCTATTTATACAAGATATTTATGAGACTGGATTAGTCAATATTCAAAATAAAGCAATACATTCACATGACTCTCTCCTCTGTTTGTCACATCCAGAAACTGAGCAAAGCATGTTGTGTATTGTGTTTGATATTGTAACCAAATTTAATATTCATTAAAATGTTCTTTTTAACTATATTTCATAAACTTAAAAATTTCTAATATGTCAATTTAAAAACAACATTTGAAAAATAGTACAGGTAAAGATAATCCAACCCCCAATAACTATTATTACAAACATATTAACTAGGCAAGAAATAACTGGCTATTATAATATTCAAACTCATCATGACGCTAGATAACTAATATGAATGTCTAGGTATAATCCAAATGTAAATTATATTTCTTTCTTTTTAAAATAGTTTACCATTCTTTTTTCTTGTGACCACTTCTAAATGTTTTATAAATTAGGTAGTAATTAATTCATGTAACATTTTTAAACACCAATATTTAGACTTCAATATGTTCAAAGTTCTTTTGTTCAAAGCACTTTCCAGCATAGGGAGTTAATATGCAGCTGGAAAACTGGGATAAATGAGGAGGTTCTATCCAGACTCTGGATTTTTGCCTAAAGCGCCATCTGACAAACTCCTGTGAGAATAAATCATAATCAAAGTAAGCATTAGCCTAAATGAAACAGAATCTGTGCTCCTTATTAGTAACTGTTAATTTACTGTTTAGCAACAGTTACCAATATTGGCTCAAGTTAAAATGATATATATAAAATGATTATTATATGTAATATAGGATATTTATAGCATATATTACATATACTATAACACACACACACACACACACACAACCAGTCCGGAGCACGCCTGCTAGCTATCATAATATTTACCTTGTAAAACTCCCCAAGGGTACTGACGGCCTCTGACCATCCTTTTTCCAACTTTCACCTCATCCATACACCCAACTACAGCAAAAGGTAGCTGTTTCTGTAAAGGAAAGACAATTTTAATCATGTTCCCTTATACCTACATGACATACACTGCTACTCTTATTTCTGTTATGGAAATAACACAGACAAGAATAATAAATTAAGCTCATTCAAACAAGGGGTATACCCTGCCTCAGATTTTATGACTTGGCAATAAATATGTACAAATTCATTTCTACAAGCATTAGTGTCAAGTCTTGAAAACTATCTACTGAGTAGAATGACTCTAAACCAAGGCATTATGCTGTGGGAATGATGTACAAAGAGAAAAGATTTTTAGTAGACACATCGTTTTTTCTCACATTATCTTTACCTTGAAACACAAAGACAATATCAAGAAAATAATGTACAAATCACTTTTAACCGTTAAATATGTAGTACGTTTAAAATATGAAGTACTAAGAATAACTATAACTATAATAATTTCTTAATATATATACAATATAAAGTATATAAATAAATAGTGCTTCATATATATTCATAGATGTACATATATATGAATTCTAAATACAACTAAAGGGTCACTTTAATCATGTGATGGTGAGAGTCAGGGGAAGTATGAAAAATGAAGTCAGCGGTGGGTGGTGGGTGGAGGTGGAAGAGGGTATGGGGGGATAAAAGGTAACGCAAAAATACAATAAAAGTGAACTATTAATAAAAAATGATGTCAACCGAGAGAGGTTAGGGGAGAAGATAAGCAAAGTAAAAGGACAATCATAGGTAAGGATAAAGTTTTGAACAGGATACAGAGGCAGAATATGCAAAATTGTAATGATCTCTCAGAAGTTATACAGATGGTCTGTCTGAATAGAAAAGTTGATACATAATGTACAAGGTAAAAATTATTAAGCATTATGTTAAATGTTTAATAATTAACAGTAGTCTATTAATTAGTTTTGATGAAAAATTACTCCCTATGAGTTCCTTGGTGTACTATTAGGTAAGAGAGGCCAATATCTTTAAGATAAGATATGAAAATATATATAATACAGAAGAATAAATTAAAAATGTATATTACTTACATTACTTTAATTCATAAATATGTTTATATTTTAACACCTTAAAATAAATGGGGCATGGGTTACCTACCAAGATGGTAGAGTAGGTAAATTCTGTGCTTGTCTCCTCTCATGAACACTTCAAAATTACAACTAAATTGTTCCGGTCAAGATGGAGGCGTAGGTAAACATGCTTTGCCTCCACATACAACCACAGAAATAATTACAACTAGTTCTTAAAACAAATAACACCCAGAACCATCAGAAAATCAAGCTGTATGGAAGTCTGACAACCAAGGATTTAAAGAAGACACATTTATCCAGATGGGTAGGAGGGGCAGAGATGTGGAGACAGGCGGAGATACACAGAGACACAGTGTGGAACAGAGAGGTGGCAGAACAGGCAGTCCCTCATTCATATGTGGTGGATAAAAATCAGGAGGAATACCTTGGGAGGGAGGAATCCCAGCCCCAGGCCAGACCACAGATGCCAGGGTTCCAGCATGGGAAAAATAAAGCCCCATAACTTCTGGCTGTAAAAATCAGTAGGGGTTGGGACAGCAGAAGAAAGGGCTGAGTTTTCAGGAGACTGCTTAAAGGGCCCACAAGGACTTAGAACTTATGCAGACTCACTCTCTCTAGGATTCAACATCAGGGTAACAGCTGAAAGGGCACCAGTCACATATGGGGAGTAAATGAAATGACTGGAAATATGGCGAGTCCTGGACAAACCTCCAGAAGCCAGGCAGCGGCATTGTCCCCTCTCTGAGCCCTCCCCCAACAAAAAGCCACAAAGCAGTAAAGCAAGTTGCCTTGCCATGATGATTACCTAAGGCTCTGCCCCACACAATTTACAGGTGCCTTTTTTCACAATAGGCCACACTACTCAGACAGGGAGTCAAAGCAGCTTTACCTAACACACAGAAACAAACATACAGAGGCTGCCAAATTGAGGAGACAAAGAAATTTGGCCTAAATGAAAGAACAGAACAAAACCCCAGAAAAAGAACTAAACAAAATGAAGATAACCAACCTATCAGATGCAGAGTTCAAAACACTGGTTATCAGGATGCTCAAAGAAATCATTGAGTAAGGCAACAGCATAAAAAAAGACCCAGGAAGAAATGAAGGTTACATTAAGTGAAATAAAAATCTACAGGGAACCAACAATGGAGGTGATGAAGTGAGATTCAAATCAATGATTTGGAACATAAGCAAGAAATAAGCATTTAACCAGAACAGCAAGAAGAAAAAAGAATTAAAAAAAAGAGATAAGGATAATATAAGAAACATCTGGGACATCTCCAAATGTACAACAACCAAATCATAGGGATGCCAGAATGAGAACATGAACAGCAAGATGTTGAAAACTTATTTGAAAAAAATGATGAAACAAAACTTCCCCAGTTTGGCAAAGGAAATAGACATGTAAGTCCAGGAAGCATAGAGAGTCCCAAACAAATTAGGTCCAAAGAGGACCACACCAAGACACATCCTAATAAAAATGCCAAGAGTTAAAGATAAAGAGAGAATCTTAAAAGCAGCAAGAGAGAAGCAGAGAGTTACCTACAAAGGAGTTCCCATAAGACTGCCAGCTGATTTATCAAAAGAAACTTTGCAGGCTAGAAAGGTCTGGCAAGAAGTATTTAAAATGATGAAAATCGAGAACCTACAACCTAGATTACTCTATCCAGCAAAATCATCATTTAGAATCTAAGGGCAGATAAAGTTCTTCCCAGACAAGGTAAAGCTAAAGCAGTTCATCATCACCAAGTCATTATTATATGCAATGTTAAAGGGACTTATTTAAGATAAAGAAGATCAAAACTATGAACATTAAAATGGAAACAAAATCACAACTATCAACTGCATCTGAAAAACAGACTAAGCAAACAAGCAGAACAGGAACGGAAGCATAGATATGAAGGTAATTTGGAGGATTATCAGCTGGGAGGGGAAAGAGGCAGAATGAGGGAAAAGGTGCAGGGGTTAAGAAACATAATTTATAAGTACAAAATAGACAAGTAGATGTTAAGAATAGTATAAGAAATGGAGAAGCCAAAGAACTTACATGCATGACCATGGACATGAACTAAGGGGCAGCGATTGCTGGAGGGAATGGTGGTACTGGGCAGAGGGGAGCAAAGGAGGGAAAAATTGGGACAACTGTAATAGCATAAACAATAAACTATATTTTAAAAAGATATAAACTTTGAAAAAAATTACAACTAAATTATAGAACAATCAACCTGGAGAAACATCTGAAGACCAGCTGAACAGAAGTCCTATAACTACAGATATAAATAAGAAGCCATGTGAGGCTGGAAAGAAGGGTGAAGACACAAAATGGACTGGCCCCATGCCCATATATGGTGGTTGAGAATTGGGAGGAACATCTCAGCTGCAGAGGTTCCCCTTAAGGAGCACAGGGTTCCAGGCCCACAGAGGGGTCTCAGAGAACCAGTGCTAGGAAAAGAGGCCCCCATCGTATCAGGCTGTGAAAATCAGTGGGGATTCCATCCCTCTGGGTAAGACAAAAGGCTGCTGGAAACCCACACATCCTCTTACTGGGTCCGTGCACAGGCTCACTTGCTGCTTTGTGAAAAGACACTGCTAAAGAACATAAAAAGATAATCCAAAAATATTAGCAAAACAGATGTCTGATAAAGGACTGATATTCAAAATATATAAAAGCCTCTTAAAACAAATAACCCATTTATAAATTAGCACAATATCTGATCACATACCTTATCAAAAATAGATACAGATGGCAAATATGTATATGAAAAGAGTCTCAACATCATATACATCAAGGAATTATAAATGAAAACAAAAATTAGATACCACTACACATCTATGAGAGCTGTCAAAATCCAAAATACTGACAAAGATGTGATGCAATAAGAACTGTAATTTGTTTCTGGTTGGAATGTAAAATGACAAAGCCATGTTGGAAGACATTTTGTCAGTTTCCAATGCACCAGGCCCCCAGCCCAGGGTTCCAGTGCCAGGAAGGGAAGTCCCCATAACTTCTGGCTTCAAAAGCAGTGGGGATTGTGGCTAAATAAAACAGAGAACTTCTGCAGTCACGGGCATTCCTCTTAAAAAGCCCATGCATCTACTTACTCACACTCACTCTCTCTGAGCTCCAGTGATGGAGCAGCAGCTCAAGTCACAAGGGACATTCGAGGAGAAACTAAATTGTCTGGCATTAGGGTGAGAGCTAGAGGGCCAGCTTTCTGCCAGACAAAACTCCTGATGACATTGATGACATTGTTCCTTTTCTAAGGCCCCTCCCCCAAAGATCCAGGAGATGGTGCCATATTGGAGATGCCATCAACATGTCTCACACTATTTACCCAACCCTGGAGACCCCTGACGCCCTGACCCACCCAACTTTCAGGCCAATCCAAGCTGTTTCCAGTGGCTTTTCCATACAAATGGCCTGTCTTGGCTCATGCTTCAGACTTTCCTAAAATCTCTCAGACAAGCAGCATCTGGCCTCAGCATGCCCTATATCTCTTGCTCAGTGGCCCCAGGCCTGGCACTAGCAGCAGCCAGCCTTGGTTCACAATTTAGGTTTTCCTGGGCACCTCCAAGCCCAGCACAAGTAGCAGCCATCTTTATAACTCATGCCAGATGGCCCAGGCAGAACACAGGTGGTGGCTGACTTTGGCCTGAATTTCTTGGGGAGCTCTAGAGCCAACACACCCAGTAGATAGCTTCAGACCTTATTGAAGCACCACCACCCAACCACCTCCACAAATGACACACTCAATAGGTGGACTCAGCAGGCACCAGAGCCTCACTGAAGTAAGTCCTGCTCCGTGGGGTGGGCCTCTGCACCACTGATTCTCCACAGTTATTGGTGGTTGCCCCCAGTCCTTGCAGTCAATTGGCCTAGGGGTAAATCCCTCCCACTGATGTGCCAAATGCAATCAAGTCTCACTTACAACAGGAGGACGTACACAGCCTATACATGGTTGGAGGGGCACACCTT